TCACTTAACCCAGTGGGTTGAACAAAGGTTTTCTTCTCATCCATAAATTAGGAACAGCAATTGTGCTGGCTCTACCTACCAAAAAAGATTGTCTCTGATGTCCTTGTAAAGGAGTGTAAGAGTGTRTGAGACTTGCATAAATTTCAACTCGAAAGAATTTCTTTTGTGAGTAGATAGTTGGGAATCCAGAAGGTATTTTCTCAGAAAAGCAATACTAGACCCTGTAGTGATGTTTCCAGTCTAACACTACAAAAATCTGTCTCATGACCATATCTCTGGGGCATAACACATAGTGAGGGTCCTACAAATCATCACCACCAGGGGGTCACCCAATGCTGGGTGCTGTGGTTGGAAGTCTGGGTGGATGGCAAGATGGGGTGCCTGTGTATGGGGAAAAGAGGTGAAAACTGATGCTGGACAAAAAGGAAAAGGGACTTGGGGCTACCATGGTAAGGAAGCACATGGTGAGGCTGTGGGGGGCCTTTTTCAATGTAAGGATTTATTGGGTGCAGGAAAGAAATGACGGGTTTTGACTTTGGAAAGTTCTATAAATAGAGCTGTTCAGTGCCTTCTCCCACCCTGCCACCTCCTCCACTCTCTTGTTCTATTCCCCATGTTCTATTTTTGAAGTCTTTAGGGCATATATACTATAGCCAGAGTCAAGATGGAAAATCCACTTTCTGCAATTAAGTGTCTAATAGCTCAATATAAAAGAAACCAATGTGTGACACATAAATGTATATTGCAATAACAGAAGGGCCCTGAAGGAGAGGGCCATTTTTGTCCAGGGGTTGGTCAAATGGGTGCACTGATCTTTGCAATCCTGGCCTGGAAGACTTAGAAGAGGCTAGCTGCTCCTTTACTGTTTTTCTTCTGGACAGAGGCCTTCCAAATCTGACTTTTCAAATCCCTGATTGAATTCCCAGCAATCTAGTTTTCCTGACTATAACAAGAAAAGCATGTTTAAATGAACATAAAATTCCATCAGTATAAAGCCTAGTGCAGCCCAGTCGCCAAAGCTGCTAATAATGCCCTATTGTGTTACTGTGGTGTCCTAGGTTATCATTATGCAGTCTTTGCTCCTGGTTGAGAAAACATGACATTCCATTAAATGCATAATCTGGGTTCCCTCCAAGCCAGAGATGCATCCTGCCTAAAGTCGAAATGAGCTGGGATTCAATGCCATGGAAAAGAGAACCAATTGCAGGGTTGGGGAGAAGAAGAGAATGGTGGATTCCGTTCCCTGTGATCCACTGGTATCAGCCTGTAGACAGGGTCTAGGCAGCCAGCAGATCTTAGAAGCCCAAGGAAAAAACGAGTCAGCATTTTTTCCCTTCCTGCTCTGTTGTGGTTGGGTGCTGGACAGCAATGTCTCAGGAGGTTCTTTCTAAGACAAAAGAGTATATATCTTTAGGGACCACCCCAGGAGGCTGTCTGTCCTGGTTGCCTGTTGGCCCATCCCCCAGCTCTGGACTCAACAGTCACATAAATTAGCCTGGCTCGAGGTGACAGCTGGAGCTGCACACATGAACAACCTAGTCCTAGCAAGTTTTTATTCAGCACAATACTATCCCTGTCTTCAGGTAACAGGACAACCAAAGGAACTCAAAGTCATCCACCTGAATGTAAAGGTATGTGCCTGTAAAGGTTTCTCTACCCCTTGAGCATTTTGGGGTCCCTAATGTGCTTCAAAAGATCCAGTAGCACATTCAAAAATTTATTTCAGGAGTAAATACAAAAGAAGCAACTTCCTGTATAAATAGAGGGGCAAGGAACTCAGYACACTGGTTAGAGACCTTCCCTCTCCACACCTGATTTTTAAAAACCTAATGTATTTTGTTGAAAATAAAATTAATATATGCTTATTATAGAAAATTTTTAAAATTCAGAAAAGCAAAAAAAAAAAAAAAACCAAAAGTTAAAAATCATGCTTCTAGAGAGAAATACCATTACCATATCAGGTAAATAGACATGCATATGTGTGTTTCATTTTTTACAAAAGTAGAATCAAAATGCATACAATGTTTGGTAATTAATGGCATTTTCTCCCTAGAGTATAAACATTGCCTATTTCTCCTAAAATATCTTCCCAGCATGCAAAATATACAGTACATATTTAATACTCTGCATATTACATGTCTTACTTAAATCCCCTGTTGTTGAACATTTATGTCATTTTCAACTTTTTATTGCTTTAAACAGCACTACCATTAGCATACATTTAGGTACTTTTTTGTGACTATTTGGATTTATCTTTAAGATATGGAATTGTTGGATGGAAAAGTAGACCCCATCATATTTTTTAAAGCATATGATATATATTGCCAAATTATCTTCTGGTCTTCAATACAGTAACCACATGTGACTATTTAAATTAAGGAATAAAATAAAAATTCACTTCCTCAATCTCCCTAGACACATTTCAATGTCAACAGTCACATATGGCTAGAAGCTACCCTATTGGACAACATAGACACAGAACATTTTCATTATCCTAGAAAGTGCTAATGAATAACGCAAGTCTAGAAAGAGGGTACCAATTTATATTTTCCCTAGTAAGATGTGACAGTGCTTACAAGCTGGCCAGTAATGAATATTGTGATTCTTTAAAATTCTTTGCCAACCTAATAACAATTTTATCTTGTTTGATTTTTTTCATTTCTCTGATAACTAGTAAAGTTGGACTTTTTTGACTATTTGTTGACTTTTATATATATTTTTCTCCTGTAAATTATGCGGTAAGACTATTTTTATTGAGATGATGCTTGCGTGTGTTTTAATATGTAAATATAATATAGTTGGTATGTATTATAKTTACATATAGTTTATACACATAAATATGTATATCATATATCTATATATATATTTGTGTGTGTGTGTATTTTTTTTTTCTTTTTTGGTGTTGGGACCAAACCCAGGACCTCCCACATGCTAGGTAAGCACTTTAGCACTAAGCTACGTCCTTTCTGGCCCCTCCACATTTTATATAGTAAGATCATCTTAAGAGAATGATTAATGYTGCAAACATTTCTGTAACTTGTGATTATATCTTATTCATGCCTTTTTATTTATGAAAGTATAGAATTTTTATATATTCAAATCTGTATTTTTCTTTATGGTTTCTATATTWTTATTATGCTTTAAAAGCTCTAAACCTAAGATTATAGCAATATTCATCTAAATGATCTTCTAGCTCTTTGATCATTTCATTTTAAACATTTAAATTTTCAGTCCTTCTAGAATTTATTTTGGTGTGTGGTATAAAGTATAAATCTATCCTTTGGATCCCCACACGTTATCAATCCTTTGTCCAAAAAAATTTCCTACTGATTCAAAATTTCACTAAATGCTTATATGTATTTGGATTTCTATTTTTGTCTTTCTGTTCTTTGGCCTTTACCCTCCTGTTTTAATTAACTTGTAWTTTTTAATATTTGGAAAGTATTTCTTTATTATTCATTTCCAAAAATGTTTTATTTCTTTTTAATTGTGTTTTTCCCCCTATCAGATAAGCCTAGTACCATTTTGTTAAATTCCAGCCATCACCAGAATAAATTCTTTCAGAACTTAGACTAAAAATTGCTTTGGGGAGAATTTATTATCTCTATAGTTTTGAGGCATTCCATTCAGGGAATGGTGATTCTGCCCATTTGGTCAAGTTTTTCTGTATGCCCCTCTGAACTAGTTTTCAAAACAACACAAATGCTGATCATCTCTGAGGGTTTTCAGACAGTGTCCCTGAGTCTAGGATCTAGTGCTCCCAGCCACCAGAAGTTAACAAAAGAAATTCCACTTCTTAGTATTGGATTATATTTTCAGTATCCACCTTCTCATAAATCTGCAAGAAAGAGATCTCACTTTTCATCCAAAGAATCTGGAGTTCAAAACAGACTTTACGGAAAAACCAAACTCCAGGGGCAACTGCAAAGCACATTTGGTGTCTAGCTGGCCAGCTTATTTTGCTGGACTCTTTTTCCAATTCCCAAATACTTTCCAGTCTGTGAAATTCATCTCCCTACCGCTGTAACTGCAAGGCGCTCCACTGGTTTTAGTGAGCAGGGATCTTCTCTGAGGGGCTTTTTTTTTTTTTTTTTTTTTTGTTGAAGGTGGTTTTTAACAGATAGCAGGGAGCTCCTCTGAGTGCAGCTTGGCAAGCCTATGGGGAATCTGGGAAGTGTTGAACTGGTCAGAGTTCAGCTCTCCCTTGATCCGAAGTCCTGAAGTCTAAACACTCTCCACCTTTAACAAGGAAACCAGGGCTCCAGCACCTCCCTGGTAGCCCACCAGTCAAAATGGTCAAGAGCCTGATTTCTCCTCCACCGAGGTTCTCAAGGCAAAGGAGAGAGAGAATTTACCAGGCAGAGGGGAAATGTGGCTGATATCTTAATGGGTATGAGCCAAGGWTGCAACTAAACATCCTGCAACGTACAGGACAATCTCCACAACAAAGAATGACCAAGCTAAAACCTCAATAGTGCTATGGTTGAGAAACCCTGTCTTGCATTTTCAYTAAGTGCCCAGGCTGAACATACATTATATTATGGAGGACAAGGATAATGCATTTTTGTAGGACACGGTTTTTAAAAAGAGACCATTGACTTTGAAATGCCGACGTCTCTTTAAAGTGTCTGCAAGTTCTGCCTCTGGCAAGCAAGACTTTCWCAGGAAAATGAGAAGGAGCCTCAGAAACGCAGTGAGTCAATAGCATCCTCCAAGTTGCAGGCACGCTCCTAGCTCCTCRGTCACAAAGAGCAAGACAGAAAAGAAGTTTGTGCCCCAAACCAGCAACGTCGCCTCTCCAGCGGGCTGGGGCGGCACAGGAGAGGGATGGGAGGAGCGCTCCCCAACAAAGGCGCAGCTCTCGCCGCCACCACCTCCAGCGGTCCCTCTAGGTCCCTTGAGATGCACGCCTGTCCCAAAGCGACCCTGCCAACCCGCCCTGACCGGGGAGAGAGCATCATCACCAGCTTAGCCTAGAGTGAAAGGCTCATGGCACTTACTTGTCCAAAATGAAGTACAGGTCAAATCCCCCGTAGCAGGCTGGACCCCCATCCTCCCTGCGTCCCCCTTGCCCAGCGCAGATGAGCACCAGAGTGGCCAAAGAGAGCCACTTGAAGCCAATGACGAGGGCTTTCTGCTCCACGGTGGCCATGACCCTCAGCCCAGGGAGAGAGAGTGGGGTCTTCTTCTCACGCTCCGCGAGCTCGCCACGACCCTCAGGGACWCGCCATCCGAGGGGGTCCCTCCTTTTGGGCTCTTTATTCCCCCTCGCTCCCTAGAAACTCCCCGGAAGCAATTGTCTGGAGGAGTTCAAGGTTTTCCTTCTGGTTTCCGCTTCGATTCTGTTTCTAGGTTTCAGGTTTCAAGAATCTCAATACTGTACTCTGCTTTTTCAAAAAAGAGACTGCTCCGGGGTTCGGACGGTGGGACCGCTCCCCAGGGCTGCGCGGAGGTTTTGCAATTGAAGCAGTTCCGTCCTGACGGYTCTTTGTCCCAGATTTTAAGTATTATGGGGTGGGTTTTCAAATTGTTCTTGGTTGGGGCAGTGCTTTGCCTTTTCTCCCTCCCCCTTACCCCCCTTTCTTATTTTTTTGGAGGAACAAAGTCCAAAGAGTGCCACCTTGTGGCCAGAGATGGCGGAAGCACGCACCGGGGTCCGTGGGAGTGTGGCTCAGAAGGGAGCTGGGGAGACTTTAGATGGTACAAACCTTATGTTCCTTATCATTTTCAGGTAAAGGGTATATGTTTTCTTATTCCTTCCTTTTCCTTGTGCACCTTCCTCCTTTCCTCCCGCCCCCCAACCACTTCTCCCTTCTCTCTAGTCTTCTTATACTTTCTGTTCCTTCTCTCTGTCTGCGGATACGGGCAGTGTAAACATTTGATGAGAACTCATTTCCTCCAAGCATTGTGGCTCTGACTCCAGGCTTGGAAACACAGACCATTGTGCAAATCAAGCAGAGAAAAACAAGTCTTTGTGATCTGAATTATCAAGTGACCTTATATACTCTTAGCCCAGATCATGAAAGAGATTGTTAGGACTCTTTTGAAAGCAGCACGCCTAATGTCCAAAGTTTCCTACTCCCTCTGCTCCCGGCTTGGAACAGCTGAACCCTCTACATTGTCTCCGTCTCCATATTTTAGGGGTTCTTTGACAACAGTTCATCCTTTCAGCCCATGAACTTTGACTTTCTTCTCCCATCTTTGATGTAGGACAGAAGGAGTAAACAGCTTACAGAAGTGTAGGCAGTTCTAACATTTGGGACTGGCAAAAAAAAAAAAAAAAAATCCTATGCTCTCCTTTCTAAACTGCAGAATCTTTCTTTAGAGTGGTCTCTGAGCCCCAGTTCAAGGTAGGACCCTAAATCTACCTTCCCCTGCCTTCCACTCTGGAAGTCCTCAATGCACATGCATGCTTCCTTGTTTAGGATTCTTCCCCCAGACCGACACACATATTCCTTTCTACTTGTGATCCCTCAAGACACACACCAGTGAAMTATCCAAGGTGGTTCTCATGTGTATACCACGAAATCCTAGTGTCTTGAAATGCTCCATGCARCATTAATTGCATTTTCAAACAAGTCTTGGAGACTCATAATGCATTGCACTAGCCTGCCTCCAAAATGATCCCTAGTGTCCCTCACCTCCTGGTATTCACATTCCTTCCACATGGACATGACTGACTCATAAGTAATTAATAAGATATTGCAGAACTCATGGAGTGTGACTTTTGGGGCTAGGCCATGGAGATTGTGTGTTTTCCCCTTTGTTCTATGGGTCACTCTGGGGGAACCCATTGTCATATCATGAGTACACCCAAGCAGCCCTCTGGAGGAATCCAGACAGCAGGAAACTTGAGCTTCCCTGCTGACAGCCAACATCAACTGCCAGCCATGTGAGTATCCCATCTTAGAAGTGGATCTCCCAGCCCTGTCAAGCTTTCCGGTGATTCCAGCCTCACCAGAGACCACTCCCCATCCTCAAAGCAGAACCACTCAGCTAGCCCTTCCTGATTCCTGACCCAAATAAATGAGGAGATAGGTTTATCGGTGTTTTAAGCCTCTAACTTTGGGATGATTGGTTATGCAAGAATACATAACCAATAAATGCCTATTTAAAGCCTGGAGATTTCTCTGGGGAAAAGATTTTTTTAATTGTTTCCCAGATTTCCTTGACCATGAAACTATTCTTTTCAGATGATACTCATTGACACTCATATTTTGTAAATTACTGCTTTCTGGAAAAAAATAACTGTGGGGATTAAAAATAATCTGTCCAAGTCTTCTTTTTCTATACTTTTCTCATTTTCAAAAGATGGTAAAYCCTTCTTGTTCCTGTTACAGACCTGTGATGAGAAAGGAGTGGAAATCTATAGAAATTAGCTGGGTACATGAAGGCTGGGAAACCAGGAAAGTAAAGAAATATGAGATAGGACACTATGGTGGGGAGAATGTCCATGGGATTGACTGGAAAGGGCTTGGGGGGGCGTTGGGCAGAAAGAATCAGAGAGGCATTAGGAAAGTCTTATCTCATCCTCATGCCCCCAGGGCCCTCTTAGATTGTTTAAGAGTTTGAGTGACAGGGGAATATCTTGAGCATTTCATTGGGAAAATAATTTACAAAGTTAGCCAGAAGAGGGGAAGCATGAGGTGTCCTAATAAAGGTCTTCAAACTAGAGACATCCACATCAAAGACAGGGGAAGGGTATATTCCATGTGAATAAATGTATAGGGAAGGGGAGAGGGTGAAATAGTCTCCCCTAGGACAAGTATGGTGCTTAAGAGGGGAGGGAAGTAGTTGCAATGTTTAAGATATTTGAGTGTACCAGCTACCTCTGCTTTTCTTCCAAGATTCTAGAAAGATATCTATTGATACAAGTTGATCATCTCCAGATCCTAAAATGGATCTACCCTTCTCTTTGTCTATCTCAGAGAAATCCATTCCAAGCTGCCTCACTCACTGGAGGAGATGTCTCCCAAACATTCTCATGAAGTGAACTTGACATTGAATTACAGATATATGGTTTTTCAGGGGAAGAAATAGACAAAGATGTCCATAGTTTTCAACAATGGTAAATGAAGTCCCTTGAATGATCTTAGCATGGTAGCTAATTGGGAAAGGTGACAGTATCCAGTGCTCTGAATTGGCATCAGCTTGGTTGTTGGGATTTGGCAACCTCAGACTTAGTGCACATAGGGAGACAGGAGAGGTGAATCAGTCCCTGGAGGCTAGAGCAGGATTTGGGAAGAGTCTCTCAGTAGAGAATTTCCCAGATTAATTTCAGAGTTCAGAGACATTTGAATATCCAGAGTCCCCTGCCTAAATGTTACCATCCTTTTGAAGTAGTGTTCAATGTTCTGATATGATTGGAAATATCCTAACCCTACTCCTTTTCAAGGACTCCAGTGCTCTGGAAGAGATGGATAGGCCAAGGTTCATGGAGATAGATATATGAGGCTTGGAAGGAACTCCCCTGCCTCTTAAATTTAAATGAGTGGCAGAACAATGTACACGGTGATGTCAAGGCTATGGATAGATATTTCTGGAGTTGAATAAATKCAGGAGAAAATTAATCATGCATGTGGAAGCCAAGGCAGGGAAGAAGTAGTCAATAGTGCTCATGCTGTGGAAGTCAGGAGAATAAGCCCTGAAAAAAGCCCATTGATTTGACATGAATGTCATTGTACCACCCAGGAGCATTCCAATGAAGGTGAGGGATGTTAGACTGCACTGAGTTAATAGCAAGGGGAAACCTCTCTTTCAAGAGATAACTTGTGAATGTTCAGATGTTTTATTTGCCACAGGAATAATCTCAAGGTATTTAAGCATGCCAGAAATGTCAAGTTCCTTTGGAGAGTTTGTCTTGCTAGACTCACCATAGCAAGCCTTTCATCCTGAACTACAATCACTGCTGTATCTGAATTTACAGTAATTGTTAAATATTATTAAATTATKAAATAGGTTCTTTACTTGCATACTCTCACACTCCCTAACAATTGTGACCTAGCCCCTTTTGTCAAGATGTCCAACATGAAGCTTGCCATSCTAATAATTTTGCCATCTAACCTTTCAAGAATCCCACTGGACATTTAAGTGCTGTTTGAGTTCTTGACAAAGATTCTGGAAAAAGTTCCAGATAACAAACTATCCAAGAAAAATTTGTGAAAAAATTTTCTTAGAAATACTTGCCACAATAGGGACAAATCTGATACTTTCCAGTAAATTTTGTGTCAATCAAATATATCCACTCTTGGAGGTCTCACTGGTCCCTGGACTACTATCTGCAAAAAATAAAGAGGGTCTTTCCAAAAGCAATTTATCAACTGGAACAACAAAGTTTTTGAAGAATTCAAATCAACCAAGTAATAGGTTTTACCAATAGAAAAAACAAAGGCACTAGTAATAAAGTTAAGCCCAGATGCAGAACCACAGTCTAGGTCAAGATGCCCTGATGGTATCCCAAAGGCCAAGCCATCCACAATTTCARCCCAGTAACAGTCAAAGCCTTGTTGAGCAGAGCATCCCATTAATCCCTCAAYCAAAGCTTAGGCAATTCTAGTTTAAGAATAAATTCAGCCCAATATATCTTTTAATTTAATTCAGGGCAAACCAAACCCCAGCCCAAAGCTCTGTTAATAATGACCTCAATGCAGAGATGAAACCCATTCAAGTGGGCCCCAACCCAACTTGACTAATTCAGAATCTTTCATAAAATGAGCTCAATTCACATATCAGTCAATATCAGCACAGATATTTATTTAATTCAGTTCACAACAACTCAGCTAAGGCCACACACCACTCCAGGGGATCCTAAGCCACAGCCAAGCCTTCTGAAGAGCACATTCCTTCAAGGACCTAGTCAAGAGAATAATCTACAATTTAAAACAGCATATCCTAAATCCTCTATCCCAGATCCTTGAAAGGATGCAAAGTCTTGTGAGCAAACTGTTCATTTTATCTAGCGAAGAGACAAGGTCAATCCTACTCAAAATTCAGATGAAGGTTGAAATGGACCAGTACAATCCAGGGTTCTAACAAGCCCAGAGACTGCAAATGCCTAATGGAAGATTGTGATTTTGTGTGTGTGTGTGTGTGTGTGTGTGTGTGTGTGTGTGWGAGAGAGAGGGATTGAACCCAGGAATGCGTAACCACTGAACCCACATCCCCAGTGTCCCCCTCCATTTAAATTTTATTTATTTACCTGTTTTGAGGCAGGGTCTTGTTAAGTTGCTTAGGGCCTTGCTGATTTGCTGAGGCTGGCTTTGAACTCGCAGTCCTCCTGCCTCAGCCTCCCAAGTCAATGGGATTACAGGCGCGCACCACCATGCCCAGGTCTGGAAGATTGTATTTGACAAGTCAAAGCCAGCACAAAGCTGAGCACAAGACTAAGTCAACCCAATCCTACCAGTGCTATTCAAAGACCCCAAATCAACTCACAACTGAAGAAATTAGGAGAAATATAACTAGACCTCTCCAGCCCATAACCTCCTTGACCTTTTTGCTAATGGCTACCA